ACTTTATCGTGGCCCTGCCAGCAAAAATGTGTTTCTGGTAAGTTTTGCTGAAACAAAAAGATAAGCTATCTCTTTTTAGCAATAAAGAGTAAAAAAGTGAGTCACATGGCAAAATCACTGGCAGGCGCACACAAACCGTGAAAAGGCACTGGAAAGGCACTGGAAAGGCACTGGGAACAGACACGGCACATGGCAACAGTAAGAACAGTAGCTGGAACTGCTCTTCATCTGGCTTGCTTTCCTGACGTCTGCTGTCCTCGCTCGCAACGTGTCGATGTGAAAGAGTTGTTGAGCACAGAAAATTAAAACACAGAGTGCTACGGATGAAGATGTTAGACTTGATACTTACGAGCCAATAATATGCACACGTCACACCTTTAGACAGTAGATGGACCAAATATTCCAACCCATGTATCAATAACTGTCGCCAACCCCTGACCCCCAAAGGTCAATGTTGAACATAACTTGATTGAATTTGCGTTTCCAGGGTTTGATTTGTTTCGTCCATTCGCCGAAACATTCTTGCAAGACCTCTAACATTGAGCTTTGGGGTAGGAGGGGTCCTCGTGGTTGAAAGGGTTTGAATATTTCGTCCATCTACGGTAGTATCGCGATCCTTTTGGGACACGTGAGGCGGCGGACGCGCGTCCCGTGCTCCTCGACTCGTTCGTGTGGCAAGACACATAATACTGCAAGAGTCCGTGCAGCGTGAGCTTCGACTCCTCGTCCACGCGAATCTCATGCGGTTCGGTCATGAACCTCCGGAGGCGGAGCGAGGAGGAAACGGAGCTCCGAGCTGCTCGAACGGTTGATATATGTCCCAGACACGACCTGTCTGGGACTGCCATAGATGCTTACGTTTTTCCCCCAAACCCACCCCAACTCATCGGCAGTCCTATGGCAGTCCCATAGGTCGTGTCTGGGTGTTTGTCTTTTTTCGGCGGCAACGTGGGATGTTCGCAGCAACCGGGATCCATTCGTTCAACGTGGGCTTTCAACGTGGGCTGTGCTGGGAAGAGGAGAGGCCACTGGGAAGAGCGATGCCTTCCATCTTCCGGGAATGTCATCGGCCAGTGGATCCGGCGATTCCTTCGGCCAGCGGATCCACAGATTCGTTCTCGTTGGAGCTTTCGGGTCGTGCTTTCTGGCCAACCCTCCAAGCCTGAAGTGCACGTCTGAGAAAGGTGCTTTCAGCTCCCCCAAAAAAAACCGGATTGTTTTGGAACTTAAGCCAAGAACCCTGCTCAGCGACCAGTCCAGCATCACAAGACCTCGAACAACTGAACCCCCCCAAACCCGCTGAATGTCAGAGGTGCAACGACGGCTGATGATTTTCTGCCCAAACCTGATTACTGATGCCCTAAGCTGATGGATGTTCTGCCTGCCTAACCTGATAGATGTCCCCGCCTGGGCCCAAACAGCTTGGACCCTCATCGCTGGGTCCGATCGCGCCGAAGCGCCCGCGGGGGGGCGAGGGACAGAACCGCCCGCCGAGGGGCTTCTTGCACAAGGCTCGGGTCTCGGCACTCATCGTGGCACTGAACATCATCACCTGGCGGTGGATGGGCGCGGGGTGAATTCCGCGGAGGCCGTTTCGGCAAGTCCCACCGATCCGACAGAGTCCCAGAGATCCGACAGAGTGCCTGGGAAACCAAACTAGAAACAAATGTTGTTCCAATATAGCAATTGAAATCCACATAAGAAATGGTTGGGACTGGGGAAACATCGGAAACATCCATTTCTTTCTGGTTGGGACTGGGGTTCCAGGTGGATGTCTGTGGTCTGTGGACATGAACCAGTCAATCCCGAAGGGTCGGAAACAGAAGGTTGTTGCCCGTCAACATGTCACCCCAGACGACCTCGGGGCCGAAGTCCGTCACACCGAAAGGGTGAACCTTCTCCGCCAGACCTCTTCAGCGGCCTCCCGCTTCAGCACCCTTCCGCTACTTCGGCGACCTCCCCGCCACCGCGCAAATTGTGGCGGCCCGAACCATCACACGACTCGCCTGCTTCTTCTTCGGCGACTCCATGAAGATCGACTGGACATCCTGACGGAGCTGGGAGACACGACGTGGGACACGACCCGGAACGCGCCGCTTCCGCGGCGAAAAAAGGGCCCGCGCGCTCCGTTTTCCAATGGAGGCCCCAAACCCGTTCGTCCAAGATCCGGATCGAATGGACAAGCACTTTAAGGATGTATACCCAAACACGACCCATGGCACTGCCATATATGCCGCCCCATTGACCCCCTTTCAACCACCCCAACTGATCGGCAGTCCTATGGCAGTCCCATGGGTCGTGTCTGGGATATTATGGCCACTACACTGGCCTTTTAAAAGGAGTATTTGTTTCACCCCAACGAGCCGAAAGCAAAAAGTACAGAAAGAAGAACAAACGTCACCCCATGGGACTCCGCGGGTTTCGGCTTAGTGTCAACACTGCCAGTTTTACAAATGGTCTAGGCTGGGAGATGCTGGGAGGGTCACTTCTGCTTTCAGGACCTCTACTGATCAAGCGTGATCAAGCCATCTGAATCTTTGCGAGACAAAGCATCTTCTTGACCAAACATGTCGAAGGTCATGAATATGTCATGACACTCACTTAGGATCTAAAATCCCTTTGGAACTCCGGGCCGTTCGGGTATATTTTTGAAGTTCGGATCGATCGGCTTGGTCCCATCCCCGTGTCTGAAAAATGGATTGTGCATGAAAATCCGCTTTAATTGATCGGGTCAAATGGTCTGTTCTGCGCATCCTCCCCTCCAGGTCTCCTCTTGTTGGGCCAAGAAGAGGGCCCTGTAAAAGGTCGAACCATTGGTGGCTGAGAAGAAGGGGAGAGGAGGCGGCTCGGCTGGTTTCGCAACCAGCCCGTCACGCGGAAAATGGCGGGTCTTTCCTTTCAAAAAGAAACAAAAAACACCAAAACCATCCAAAACCATCCACCCACCCCACGCCCCGCGTCCCGGTCCGCCCGCGGACCAAACGCGGTCACGGTCACGCCCGGACGACGTGTCCGGAGTCGGTGTCGTCCGGCCTTTCGCATGTCGATCTTATCCAAGCATTTGTCGCACTCATCCAGGACGAAGTGCTGCAACTTGTCCAGCTTCAGGTCCTACGACGGGGGGAACGGAACGGAGAGTTCTGGAACGGAGTCTCTGTCGGAAGGAAGGAAGGAAGGAAGGAAGGAAGGAAGATGACCCTTTGAAAGCAACCTAGCCCCAAAGGATCCCCAATGTAGGTTGATATGCCATACATCGAGTGCCTGGGTAAGGTTGATAAAAGACATCATCATTGTTCATCAGCTAAACATGGCCAGTTTGTGAGTAGAGAGGGACATCTCAAGATGCGTTTGCATGAAACCCGCAAAAGTGTTTGTTTCCGGACCAGTAAGGACCTGAGGTCCATCCTGCAGGATCGTCGGCGCCCGACCCAAAATTCACCGAATCCATGGTCTGTTTTGACCGGCTTCTCATCATCTTAGCATCATGCTTTTGAACATCTATGTACGTTCTCCATACCAAGCGCTCGCCGCGCTGGTCCGACCTGCTCAAACCGGACTCAACTACCGGCTCTCGAGTCTCCAAGTTCCATAAACCATCCATTAAGCGTCTACCAGGTGTAGAAGTGTAGGTATAAATAGGTACTTGACGTGTCTTCTGTTTTTTAGACATACTGATGCGTTAACTACCTACTACTACTTAAAACACATCAATGAAATGAAATCCAATAAGAACAAAGACACAGCACCACCACCTGGTCTCCCCGACCGAGCTGGCGCTCGGCGGCGAGGTCCGGCGAGGCCGGTCGGCTCCTTCTCCCTCAAGAGCGCCAGCACACGTCCTGGGGTGCCAATGAGGATGTGCGGGCAATTGTCCTGCGCCACACGTGTCCACGGAGCGGTCCGGGACGCGAGCTGCGAACGGAGCATGTCGGGGCGAGCTGCGAACGGAGCGGTGTCCGGTCCCCGGTACCGGGGTGCTCCGGCAGTCCTTCAGCATCTCCTTGTCGGTGGACATCGGGGTACCACCATAGACCACCGCCGACTTCACGCCCTGCCGATCACCGAACCGTGGAACGGGGGGAGCATGGAGCGAACGGGGAAGAAGTGTGGAACTACGTTCCAAGCATCCCCTTGGAGCGGCGAGCGGCTTGGCAGAATCAAAAACGTATTCTGAATGGAGGATCACTGTTCGGATGCGACATTGGCAAGTGTTAATAGAAGAAATATCACGACAAAATAGTTGTTTTTTTAATATTATATATAACTAAAATCAGTTATATACCCTATCTTGCATCAGTGAGTTCACCCCAAGTCTTATGGAAACAGCCCAGAATTCCACGTACTAGAGAAAGAACTCATTGTTTTTGTTGGGAAGATTTGATGTGTTCTCTTCTTCTGGGTGTTCTGCATCTTCTTCCACCCCCCCGAACACTCCATTCGCATCCCGCGAACGCGGAACAACGCACCGGGCTCCCCGAGCGGGGAAATACTTGGAGAAGCGCTCGAACTCTTGCTTGATCTGCACAAAGGCTGTTTCTTCGTGTTTCGATGCGGCAGGAGATGGAGAGCTGAAGACCTCATGATGCCTGCTTCACCAGTTTCCAAGTATAGAAACCTCTTAAATCACCTGCTAACCGCCGGTTGACCTGCTTCCTTCGGAGGAAAGGAAGTGGCTGTCCGTGGGTGGAACTTCCTCCGCTTGGGTCGACCAACACTGTTGACCGAGGAATTGAGGAAATCTTCAAAGATTGAACTTCAGAAAGTATAAGTTTAAGTGTGTTTCTCTAATCAGCATGACTCGTGGTTTGGGGATGGTTTTGGATACGGGATGAGATCGAACCAGGTCAAGAGAAAACACTGACTCAGTATACCCCGTCATTGGGCTGGCTTAAGTAGAGTCAGGAAGAACAGTGAACTGCTACAAACCTGTGTCAAAGGACTTCCAAAACACACGACATCTTGCAGTGCACATCCTGCGTTCGTTAGGTCCAGCCCCGCTCTGCTGCTGGTGATCAGCTGCAAACATTATTGAAAACATGGGATACTACTGATAGCCTCCAACCTACTAGTGATAGCCTCCAACCTACTAGCAATGGCCTCCAACCTACTAGCGATAGCCTCCAACCTACTAGCAATGGCCTCAAACCTGGATCTCAGGCTACTCATCTCAGTGGCGGGGAGTTTGTTCGCCGCGAACATATGGGGGCTCATATGCAAACATCCCAAGGCTTCGACAGCTTGGCCGAATCATTGCGGTTTAGATCACGTCCCTTTGACCTTGATTTGTACGCCTCAACCGGGTTTGTTCTCTCATTTGGAGGAAACCATCGGCATGGGTGCTGAGCCAAAAGTGCTTCCAAACCTCCGGGAACCAGCACCAGACCAAGGGGTTTGTTCTTGGATGAAAGATACATAGATCAGTCCATCACCCACCCCTTTCCGTGTGTTGGACGTCAGCTCGTCAACCGGTGACCGACTGGTCACCGTCCGCCTGGTATGCCAACTCTCGGGTATGGCACACCACCATGGTCCGGACTGCCTGGTGGTCTGACGGACACGTGGAAGAACGTGGTGAGGTGTAGTCTGATGGATGACTCACACACGGAGGGAAAAAGGCTGCATATCATATTCTCATCTCATATCGAGCAACAAACTTTTAAACATGTGGGGATGGAACGTCTACGTCGAACCGTTACATAGATTTATGTATATATAGATAATTATAGATAGATATCGTGGCTGATGAGAGAGAGGCAGCTCAGTGTCACGGGTCGTTCACGACACCTATCAGCACTGATTCCACACCTCAGCTCTGCAGCTACCTCAGCTGACTCCCTCAGGTTCCCTGAAGAGTTCCAGGTACGTGTCGATTTGAGTGGAGCTTTCACACCAATTTCAATGGGTTTCAATGGGTTTCAATGGATTAGTTTGGTTTCAATGGGGTTTCACACCTTCATCCTCAAGCAACATGAAGACCATCATGGATGATCATGGATGTTCAATTCGACCGCAGCCATGGGGTCCAATCTGACCCAAACGCCTCCATTTGTACGGCATACTTTGCCTCCATTGGGATGACCGGGGGGGTCCATGGGGCGGCAACTATTGCAGTCCCAGACAGGTCGTGTATGAGTTGTATATGATCCCAGACCATCCATGGGACTGAACTAGTTAGATCATGTTAGATACGTTCACCCATGAAAATGACCCTTGTGTAAATAAACCTATTGTTTATATTATATTGTAATGTTCCGATGACCCAGCCTTCTCACTGGAGTCGATTTGCTGCAGACATGCCAGCACGAAGACCGCCGTCTTGCCCATGCCGGACCTGGGCAACGCAAGACCCAAGATGACCACAGGGTACTTGAGAGAGGAGGGGGTGAACGAAAGGTAGCAAGCAATCACAAGTAACCCTGGTAGAAGTCCACGACGGCGTGAACCGGCGCAGGGTGGATTTGATCGGGGGGGGGGGGGGCCCCCCCCCGACGAACAGAATCAACTCTTACAGGACCAAATTCAATGCACAATCCCAACTCCTGATTGTAATACATTTTTGCTAAAGCAAGGAGAACTCAGGTAGCTCAAGCTACCTTTCGTGATTGTATGCCCTATGGATCCACATACCTTCTCAGGACCTTCCAAGCCTACATAAATAGTCTCCAATCACCTTCTCAGGTTCGGTATGTAGATCCATGGGATGTAGGGATGGTTTTTGTGATGTTTTCGCCGTGCCAAATCACCCCCAGTACAAAGCGCACAAGAATGCTCAAGAGCTGGATGATACGATCGGTGCTCCAAGCTGCCAAGTAGGATGATACGAGAACCATTTGCTAAACGCTGTGACAACGGACCAACGTGGCTCAGAGCTGCGATGCGTGCAGTCTGTTGCCCAACAACAGTTCCAGCCAAAGAGTTAGAAGAAACAGCTGTCAAATCACTGTAACACACAAAAATGAAACAGTGAAAGAGCTTGAGATCCTACATGAGGTTGTAACATGCCGTAACTCTATGCTTTCATATGCTCTCTGCTTCATGTTCACTTTGCTTTGATCCTAAAGTGTCCTTCTTTGGCTCTGCCTTTAGTGTTTGGCAACATGCCAGTTCACGCTCAACCAGCAACTTCGACCAAGCCCAAACCAAATCGAGCTTTTCGAGCTTTCACTATGGAGACCGTTCGCCGGCACACGGTGTGGAATGGACGGTTGATGGTCTAAAGTCTCCGGAAGATTGTAAGAGTTCTCTCTGCATCATTCACGAAAAAGATCTGCAAACCGACGTTGAATGGGTGGAGAAGAAAATCTTTGAGGGCTGTATGCACTGCACGTTCCTGAAACGTTCCAAAAAGCAACTGCGCCAAAGATTTGCTTTTGGTTTGCTGCCCTGATTTTGCACTCACTTACTTTATATTTTATTGTTTTTTTTTGTTTTACCATCTCTCTAGACTCTCTAGACTCTAGATATCTCTAGACCCATCTAGACCAACCGCTCCCCATCCTCGGTCTCTGAGCTAAACACCGTCGACCGGTCGTCCGGTCGAAGCTGCGCTCAAGGGGCTTTGCTTGGCACAGTACGTCGGTACCCAGGATCGCTTGGGGGATGCACTCATGCTGCACCTCCAGGGGCACGGTGATGCTGCACCACTGAGGCACGCGTGGATCACCACCGAAGGACTAGGCTGAGAAGGCGGGTTTTCGTGTACATCACAAAGCAAGAGGGCTGCCAATCTGGATGTTAACCAACACCTTTTCTTCAGGGGTCCTGGATGTTCCTGTAAACAGGATGTATACCAGGCAGCACACCATCTCAAACCCAACTGAATCAAGTGGGCAGAACACCATCAGGTCACGTTCATCTCGTTTGCTCCCTTCCATGTGTTATGCCACTACCTGCCACGCTCTTGTTGGACTCTTCCATCCTCCGGCCTCAGAGGGGTGCTCAAAGCCGCAGTCCACGATGGCGCGCAGCAGTTCAGGCTTGAGGAGGAAGTCTTTGAAGCCGGACCTCGGGTCGGGGGCGCTCCCACTTGTTGGCCTCTTCCACTCTGTACTTCGCTGCGCGCGGGCAAGACATACCGAGAGGAGCTTGGGAAGACACACAGCGTCGGTGTCTGAAGGGAGGACGCAGAGGACGCAGAGGACGCATGGTTCGGTTCGGTCATGCTCCATCCCCGATGAAACTGGAAACTGGAACTGGATTTGAACAGTTCCCGACCCCGGAAACCGAGCACCCCCCAATTGATCCATCAAGATGCCAGATCAAGGCTGAAGGGCGTTTTCTAACATGCTTTAACTATCTACTTGTCTTGATTGTTCAATTTTTTTGTCAACGGTCCATACTGCCCTGGTGTCCAGTTACTATTCCATCTTACTTATTCCAGCACACGACCATTGGAATAGCTATTTAAGTCACCCCGCATCTTCAGGGCCTTCTTGCTGGGCGCCAGGCGCATGCATCCCTGCTTGACTCGCCTTCTTGGCATCGCCGTTTTCCTGGAAGGGATGGCATCGCCCCAAAAAGATGCCCTATAGAAGTTGAGGAAAGGGGTTTCTGTCCCTATAGGAGGGAACACTTCTATGATCATAGAAGGGCAATGTACATGGAAGTTGAGGAAAACACTTCGATGATCTTCTATATCTTAGTGAGTCGGAGGGCCATGTAGAACTGAGATCTGGTATTGGCGCACTGGCCTTTGTGCTGAGTCATGGCGGCTTGGAGCGTCAGTGTTCCACTGCTCCAAAACCACTCGACATTCGCTGCTTCCGTGAAACGGGTCCCCTGGATGGACAACCCTGCACTACATACCAGTACTTCAGTCATCTCCGCGGACAACCATTGGACACCGCTACCCTCCCTGCAACAAACATGGAACTGGACAACCTCCTCTTTGTATTCGGAATAATAGTAGAGGATTTCATGGTCTTCTCACGTCTTTTCAGGGGCCAGCGCCAACCACGCACGATGAGTCCAGCGCGGCCATTCCAGCTTCGCTTCCGTGGTCCTTATCCTTCTCTTCCTTGTGCTCATCCTCCTCGAAGTCGGGCAGGTCCTACCGCAGAAGCGAACGCACAGCCGCAGGCGCCCCGCCCGCCCGGAAACCGGGCGAAGGCAACGAAAGACTTTGGGGATAACCATGGATAACTTATAACTGGCACCCGGATTTAGTGTCTTGGGATGGAGCCCACGGATTGGATCCAGAGTCACAAGATCCGCTTGCATTGAGCCGTGTTTTTGGTTCACCACGTTGACATTCAGAAATTCTGTGCACCCCAAAGAACAGCATCCAAAGCTCTTTCGGCGCTGGTTCAGTTCGGACAGCTAATTGGATCCATGCCGGCTTCTTCAGAGCTGTGGGCAGGTACCCTCCAATGTTTACACTCTCTGGAAGTCACATATAGAAGTGGAAAATTGATGAAAATGGTCCCTTGGATGATAATTTTCCTCTACAAACAGAGGCTGCCATCCACTTCCATGTTAGTTTCAGGGAGAGTATCTGACTTGGGTGTCCACCTCCAACATCATCTACAACTGGCCAATGAAAATCAATGTTTTAGGCTCCTCCCAGTGGGATTTGGCCTTATGGACCCAGTTCGCTTTGGGAATAGACCCATGTTCTACACCCAAATCTGCGGGTCATCTACCTTGGGTATCTCTTATTCCCGCAAATGGATCATCAAAGTCTGTAAACCCCTTTGCCCCAGGACCTTCACTCCCTGCGAGCAGGTCCCCTACCTCAGGAGACGAGTCCGGTCGCTTTGAAGGTCGACATCGAACGAATTGACGGACTCAGTTGCTGGTCCCGCCGAACGGCTTGGAAAGGTTTGCAGTTGGCAAAATCCAAACCGCACATCAACCGCATTGGGTTCTTCGTGTTCCACGTTCAACAGCGTCTACTTTTAGAGGAAGCTGATGGAAGTTTCCGCTCCACGCGGCTCCGCTCCTCCGCATCGGCCATGGTTCCAAACGGTCCTCGCCGGCAGAAGTTGCGAGTCCAAGTACCAAACAACTTGTGTGGGCGAGAGAAATATGAGAAATAGAAAGTGAACATGAGATATAATGTCATATCATATATTCATGAATCATTCATATACGACGGTTAAAGAAAAATACAGCAGGGAAATTGGTGGTCATGCTTGCCTTGAGGTTTTGGACAACCACTGCGGTTGCATTCACAAATACTTCGATTCTTGCAGTTCTCGCGGACCATCCAAGCCGCACTCAACCACTGGGTGCTGCACTGTCAGAAATGCTGCACCCCCTTTTCACCTTTGGTCCACACACGAACCCGATTTCAGGTAAAGAGAAAGACGTGTTCACCAAGCATGGTGAGCATGTCTTAGGTGAAGACGCAAACGTGGTGTCATCATGTGTCATCTACAAAGAACTGATGGTCCATGGTTTTTCATTCACCAAAACCCCCTGTCGTTCCAGCCCTCGATGGTCAAACATCTGCATGTGTGCTCTCTTTTCAATCAACAGTCAACAACTAAACCACTGGGCATCCGATCGAAACCACCCGTTCTCCTCGCGCTTCGATGGAGCCAAGAGGATCCCTCTTTGTGCCAAGAGCTGCGAGGACGGAGCCAGCATCCTGCTCCCTGACTCCGCACCGAAACTATACATCAACATTAACAGGATCTGACTCCCCTCTTAATTACACTTTTTTAGATGACTCCTATTCTAGGAAAAGAATCTAGTCTCACTCATTCTCAGGAAAATCATGTAAGAAAGAACGATTTGCACATCCGTAGGATTCCTTAGGACTCTTTGATCCACCCAACCTCCTTGAACACGATCCATTTCTCCCGAACTCCTTCAAAAAACATGTCGTCGCACTCTAGTCTCAAACCCAGGCGCAACCATTGGGACTGCAAAGACGGCCTATATGACTGGTGGTTTAGGGTGGTGTAGGCCACCCTTGCATTCCGGTCGCGGGTTGGAGGATATGATATGTCGTCTATTGGTATTTGTATGTCTTTTGAACGTCTTTTACTACGGGAGTGTGAGGTGTGAAGGGGTCAAAGCAATTGATTGACTTAATTGCCTTCCAATTCCTGTGGAAACAGCTTGGCCAGGAGCAGTGTTTCGCTTAGCTTGATACATAACGAGATTCCGGGCAGATGTGTGCAGCTGCGAAAACCTAAGATCTCCTTCACTTCCAAAACCTGCAAATTCTGTGTTGCATTGTCGTGTTGAAAGGTGACGGGTCTGGCAGCGTTAAGAGCAACCAAAAACACCGATCAACTGACCACCACCGATCAACCTTGTGGCGAGCCCAGTTGCTTCAACTCAAGTCGGTCATGAATGCAATCAGCGGCGGGTCGACGGTCTAACCGTCTAGCTGAACACCACTTCAGGGCCCAAGCCCTACCAGATCGAACGAAGAAACCTCCCAAGATCCACGGCCACGCCCTCTCGCGGCTCGCCGCACCGGAGCCGAGCCGAGCCGAGCCGAGCCGACGCGGGGTCGGCACGTCTCGGGTCATCTCGGTGAGTTTCCGGGACGAGAGGTTCAAGAAGGGCACCTCGACGTGGCCGTGGCCACGGCTATGGCAGCTCGGTTTGGAGGGCTCTCGTTTTGAGTTCGGAACGGTGTCATGGGGGAGATGTTCATGAAAGTAGATGAGAGTGCTGCGTCGATTCATGCCGATTCTATTTGTTGTTGTTCTCTTGTGATCTTTTTTGCTTCGTTGGCGTTTTATCGTCAAAACAACTATAACAGTGAGGTTTGGAGATATCTGCCAAAAGCGTGACCCTGCATCAATCAAAGCCAGCTGAAGATTGCAGGCTTGACTGGTGTTTCAGCGTGGGAAGACCCAGTAAGATCCAGCGATAGCCCCAAACGAGGCCCGCCAAAGAATTGTTCCCCACATCACTACGTGTTGTTTTTTAAAGATTTGTTCAAACACCTTCCGCTTTCACCTCCTTCGTGAGGATCTATTCTAATTGCCCCGCTGAACATGATTTGTGCAATCCTTTTTCCTCGTCACTCGTATATACAATCTGTCCCGCGTTGAAAAAATAGATCTGTTAAGCACGCTTACAGACAAATTTTGCCTCAAACAGCGGCCGGGCTCAAACACGCGCTCAACATTATGTTCCCATCAAGCTACGTCGAAATTCACTATTGGTTTCTGCAGCATTTGCAGCGTTATCAGACACGCCTGAGCATGACGATGGATGAGCTCTTTGTTTCAGCTGTAAAGCCACGCTACTGTATGTCACGACTGGCATCCGCAAACTCAGATGGCGGACACCCGACGCACGAGTCTCGACTCAGCCTGTACTGTCTCCATGCTTCAAGAACGGCATCAAGACCTGGACTTCAACAAGTAGCGAACTGCCAGCTGAGTCGCAAGTTTCGTCCTTTACAGTAATTCCACGGTTTCCGCTTTCACCAGGGCACCTGTCGCCGCTACTTTAAATTTCTGCTGTGTAAAATCTGCATATGTGCATGCTACCATACATGCGCGTGAGCACAGCAGATATCGTGCAAATTTCAGGCGAACTACGTAGGCGGAGAGGTTCTATATTGTCGCGCCACCAACCGGGTGCTGATATCTCAGCCTCAGCCCACCCCACCCCGTGTGATTGCTTGTCCTACTTTGCATGAGCCCTGGGCGGTCTCACATTCTGTGATGTGATGCGCATGACAGAGGTCACCGCTTGCCTTGCACACTTTCGCACTTGTTCGCCTTGCATTCGCACCGTGCCTCTCTGAACCTCTCTCTGAGATAGCGTCCTTTCAAAGACAATCCACGGCTTGAAACTCCGTGTCAACCCCACCAGCCCTACTGGCACACTGCATGACGTGCCAAGTGTGTATCCAAAAAAGGACAAGGCCGCGATTATTTGCACATTGTCATACGAAAACGATGCATGTGCTTCACATGCAAGTGCGAGTGCTCTGACGACGGCACGGTGCGTCGTGCACTTCCAAGAAGCCCCGATTGCGAAGTGTGTTTCGACCGACAGGCGCGGTCAAAAAAAACAAACTCGCAGGACCCTGCTGGTTTGTGCCTGCAAACACGCGTCATGACACGCCCGCGGAGCCTCGAAGAAATATCATTTGCACGAATTGTCTGCTGAACTAACAAGGAAGTGTCATCAGTCATAATCATTAACAAATTAACATAATAATACATGTCTTTCTTGCCCCAAGTCTCAG